CCATTTTGAACTAAATGTACATTATGTATCCAATTTTTTTGCAGATTTGTCTATATCGGAAGAAAGTTTGAAACTATACTATCACTGAAATGGAGGAAATATTGCAAAGCAATGGTATAAGTTTACGTAATTACGCGCCCATGCCAGTTCCAATTGTATTCACGGTGGAGGACACAGTAAACATATTTGTCTTAGATGAACTGGGTTACGACCGATTTGAAATGGGTAGAGACTTGAGAGCGCGCGGCGGAGTACGAACAATTTGAAAACTCTTGCGGAAGAAATGAAGAAGACGACTGGTGGATAGAAATGGAGAGGGAGAAAAGAAAATGGGGTTTGTGTACAACAAATCAGATAAATATATGACATGTGAGGGTAAATTTGGTATATTAAATATTAGTTTGCTAAATATTTATTTAATTAATTAGGGTGGTGATAAATGCAGGACACAGTTTAGTAAATGTAGGATATTTTATTTTATAAAATCAAAACTTATATATATCCCATCTTATTTTGTCAAATTCCTTTCTTTTTGAAGTTTTTAACGACATTATTTTGGCAGAATATCACATGAAGAGTTTTAGTAAACGTAGACATTTTTTTTATTTAAATTCAAAACTTAATACATCTTGTCTTATTATTTCAAACTCTTTTTCTATAAGTATCCATCGACAATACTTTGGAAGAATATCACACATTAATCATCATTAATCACCAAAAACATGAACTTATTGGTTTTGGAGAATGATACGGCTGAAAGTGAGGTAAAAAAATCATTCTGGTGCGAAATTATTTTCCTGTTTTCTGTGTCAAATATCCATTATTTTGTTTTATGTGCCCGATTTTATAATATTTATTAATTTTGTTACTAATTTGGACCAGGATCACCTCGACACGTTTAAAGTAGTCGATTATATGGAATATTTTCCATCAGAAAAAATATTTTGTAGAGTGAACAAATTTAAACGAATTTAAAAAAGTTCTTCAGATGTGTTTGAGATAGAAAATTGAAGAAAATAAATATAGTTCTGTAGACATTTAATGATAAATATTGGATGGAAATTAATTTTTATATTAAAATGTCTATAACTACTAAAATACATTCTAAAAAAGGGATAAAAATCAAAATTAAAGAAAAATATCCTACATTTACTAAAAGTCGTCCTGTATTCATCATTTCCCAATTAATTAACCTGGGGGTTTTCACTAATAAAGAAAAAGGAGGTAGATCCATCCCTATTATACCTAATGATGTTTTCACTAATTATCCCATTTTTTTTTCTTGGTTGGTCTTGAACAAATTAAAAATAGGAATGTAAGTTTTGTGTTTGTATTACGGTAGTATTTGTGGATGAGGATATATTCGTCCTATTTGATCTTAATATAAGGAAATTATATTAACTTGTGGTCTTGAAATAAAGAACCCTTTTATCGGTGTTTGAAAAAAAATTGGACTTGCATATATCCGCTGGCCGCTGCATTTACCCTATATTAAATGGGATAGTTAGTGAAAATCCCCCGCCTTATTAGGTATAATAAGGATAGATTCACCTCCTTTTGCTTTATTATTGAAAACCCCCATATTAATTAATTGAATAAATATTTAGCAAACTAATATTTAATATACCAAATTTACCCTCATATGCCATATATTTATCAGATCAATTGTTATGGGGAATTCATATTTTGTTATTGTACCCTAATTTGGGGCCTGTAATTTTATGTGTTTGATAAATTAACTGAATGATTGTAGTTTTACCCTTCACAGGCCTGACTATAGACAGTGGCAGTTAAGTTAAATCATTAATCGAGAGTCATGCAATTGAAACTGAAAAAATAAAAAAATAAAAATAAAAAGGATTCTAAACACACAAGTTACATATAGCAACTAATTAATTATGAACATAAGAAGAAAATGAAAGAATAATATTTCGAACAGTTATCTTAATTGTTACCCCCCTCGTCTTAAAGTTAGTTATTCTTGGACGACGACTTGGAATATAGGGACGGAATGCTCTGCTCGTTTCTGAAGAAGTTAGTTGGATCGACCTTAGTTTTAATCTGCACCAACCTTTTGAAGTTGTTCTTGAAATACTTGAGCCCCCAAACGCTAGCCTGCGCATAACTTGTTGTTGTTTTGCCATCTCCTCCGTTATAATTATTTACTCCCAAATCGAGGTCTCGATAATTCATATACGAAGCTCTTGGAGACTTTGAAACGTAAGGAGTCATGTAATCATGTAGTTTCCTCGACCAACTTATCGATCTTTCCGATGCAACTGCTCCACTCTCTTCCCAATAAGCCAATTGTTGAATTTTGTACAGATTTCCCGCTCTGTGTGGGAATGGCAGCGCACTTTCCGATATTTCCTTCATTTTTCCACCGTACGGGACTACTAACAACTCCCCCATATTTGCTTCTCTCTCGAGCAACAGTTTCCACATTCCTTCGAACCCTTTGATCGAGATTGGTTCCTGCACATAGTCTAGTTTCGCTTTGAAGTAATACCTTGTTATCGGAAGCGTGCTCCTAATTTCGGGGTTTCTGCCCGTTACGACTTCCGGCGAAACTTGTATTGAATACCCGCCGAAGAAAAGTGCCGATTGCATCCAGCTCACCTCAGTGCAATCTTCTCTCCTGACTCCCAATTCCGGAAAGCTCTGTTCCAACAACGGCAGCAGCTTGTCGACCCCACCGAGATACACCGAATTGAAGTTGGCTTGAATAGTTTTGCCGCCAGCAACTCCACTCGAGTTCACCGGTCCAATAGAAATCGAAAGCAATATATCTTCGTTAAGATTCGGAGCAATATATTGCCATTTATGAACTAGCTGAGTTGCATTCTGCTCCAGTGTTCTTCCAACGGAGAATATGGTTAGGGTTTCCGGAACTGTAACCAACTTCAATTTCCATGCAGTTATAACACCAAAGCTAGAGCCGCCGCCACCTCTAATGGCCCAAAAAAGATCCTCTCCCATCGATTTTCTGTCAAGAATCCTTCCATTAACGTCGATAATACGAGCATCGATAATATTATCAGCGGCAAGGCCGAATTTCCTCAGCATCGGGCCGTACCCTCCACCGCTAAAGAGACCGCCAACTCCGACGGTGGGGCACGCGCCTGCCGGAAAAGCGAGCGTCTTACTTGTCTGGCTGATTCGATAATAGAGCTGCCCGATGATTGCACCTGCCCCAACCCATGCAGTTTTTTGGTCAACGTCGATTGAAACTTCGCTGAAATTAAACAAATCGAGGACTACAAATGGAACTTGAGATGTATACGAAAGACCCTCGTAGTCGTGGCCGCCACTTCGAATTCTGATCTGCATGCCATTCTCTCTGGCGCAAAGGATAGTTGTTTGAATTTGAGATTCTTCGAACGGGGTAACGATTACTTGAGGTCTGGGTGTTGAAGCTGATCTGAATCGAAGGCTTCTTACGGAAGATAGTAAAATCGATAAATACGAAGCGTCGTTAGGGGTATAAACAACACTAGAAATTCCAGTATTGTTTTGCAAATGAAGGGATAGGCATTGTAGAAAATCATTTTGAGGCGGATTGTGGGACGATTGAGCGTGGCAAGAATTACACGAAAGGATAATCGATACGATCATAAGAATAGAAAGAAAGGAATTTTGAGTGTTCATTGTAAAATATTAATAATATGAAATATTGTATGTGTATGTGTTGATTGATATGAGAATGAGAATGAGAGGAATGAGAGCTTCTATTTATACCCACATAAATATGTGAAGTACAGAGTTGGTGAATTTGTCAATTCAAAGTTGTGTTTTGTGTTTTGCCGTATGAATTAATTAGTGTGGTTCGAAGACTTTCCTTTTTCATGGACTTTTCAAGCATCGCGTAATTAGGTCTTCCTTTGAATGGGTCCTTTTCTTTTCAACTAAACAAGGAGTTATAAAAAAACAAAAAACTAATAATAATAATAATAATAATAATAATAATAATAATAATAATAATAATAATAATAATAATAATAATAATAATAGGGGCTATTTTATAAAAATCCCTTAAAACTTGTACCAACTTAAAACTTACCCCTCAAAAACCCCTTAAAACTTACCCCTCAAAACTTTCATGAGGAGAAATTCAACACATATTTCACCCTTTTTTTTGAAAAAACCGTGATCCTTTCTTCTTCCCTATAATCCCCAAAATTCCCCAACTACTCCCATCCCTATTTCCATTTTTCTTCTTTGTTTCTTTTTTTAAATTAATTTTCTTTCTTTTATTATTATTATTTTTTAATTTTTTTTGGCTTTTTTAACCATTTTTTTTGTTTTGTCAGGTGTATTAATCGAGTATCATACACAATTTTTAGAATATTGTTTTGAAATTTTCAAAAATTAAAATTGGATTGAAAATCAAAATCTCATATATATTTCAACTAAGATCCGGAAAAATTGAAAAAAAATCAAAATTTCAGAATTCAAAATGAAAAATGTTGTTCCAAACTCAAATTTGGATTGGAATCAACGGAATTAGGAAAATCTTCCGTCACCTTAAAAAATACAAAATCTTCCGTTTCTGATTAGATAATATCAACAGTGTGTTTCGCTTTCAATCATTAATTATTTCAACATGAATGAATTGATGTTGTTAGTTATTACACCAACGATCGAGGCATAATTTTGAAAAACCAACAGTTAAGAATAGCATCACCATAATATAACCTTTCCATTGTTTAACCTTAAAGCACATATACAACAGGAACAAACTTAGTAAAAACTGTACATTTTCAATCATTCAAAAACCAATCAATAGATTGCTGCAGCAAAATCAAGCTGGTTGCGATTTTCATCGACAAGATTAGCCCATCCAACAACAGATTTCTTGCGTTTTCCATTGTTAAGAAAACTGCATGCTAGCTTGAGAAATCAAGCAATTTTCCTTCTCCTCGACTACATTGGACGAACATCAACACATACAAGTAAGTGTGTCTCAAAAATAGTGAATCATTGAACTCGATAATAAATTTATTGAACTGAAAATGGACCGTGAGCCTTTTTTATCAACAAGGGTTCTACACGACAAAAGATCAAGATTTTGGATGTCGCTTTCAACAGCAGTGGGAATCCAAGTCTCCATTTCACAGTCATCATTGCAATCACTAAAACACTTCTTTCCATATTTTTCTTTTCCTCCGGAAATTAGAAAACAATATTTCATAAATTCATAAGCAGCATTTTTTTGTCAAAATTAGACATAAAGACTTTACAACTTATGATTAATATGCAGCCACCTTACTACGTAGAAGCAAAAGTAACTACACATGCCGTGGATCCTCGTTCAAACAATAAGATTGGCTTGAGCTTATACATCGTAAACATCTTTTCCACAGGACTATAGCAATTTGGATACACTATTTCCATCCTCTCCAAGAATTGACCATTCCTCAAAAGATATCTTATCATTTCAAAATCTTGCTTTATAGCTTCGATGCCAACAAGCTTTATAGTTCTAAGACGTGATAATAGGCATGCCGGCACTCGTTGGGGTTCCACCCAACCTTTCACTTCTTCATAAACCTGATCATAACAACAAATTAAAAAAAATAAAAAAAAATTCTATCACTTACGTAACACAATAAAGAAGCCATAAAAAGAGAAACGGTAAAAAGTTTTTTATTGCATCAACAAACCTTCTGGAGAATAAGGATTTCAAGATTATCAGCATTATCAAGGAACTTCGAGAGAAAACAACAATCCGAAATTAATTCAAGTTTGGTTAAGTTGCGAAAAGTTGTTGCAGTCCATGCAGTGAATACCGAGTCAATAATCTGGAGAGACGAGCACAAAGAAAATAAAAGATTACTACCCATCATCACCACACGTATACACAATGAGCTGAAAAGGGGTCATACCTTTGTACATTGTGATAAATCTAATTTTAGGAACCTAACATTACAGAGCCCATCAAAAAATCCCACTAGCGATCGAGAATAAAGAAAACTGTCATCTGGGTTGATACTACTACAATCGATTTCGATATCAGCTTCAATTAAGGAGGTTAGCGCCCCACATTTGATATGCTGATTTGCGTAATCAAGCAACTCGAGATAAACAAGGGCGGGGGTGTTTATCTCCACCTTGTTGTAGTTTTGATTTTCGGATTCTTTATCGAAATGACAACTGACATCGAGCGATTTAATTGTGGGTGAAGATATTTTACAGGAACAATAATCGATGCACAATCGCAGTACCAAGTCCTCAAGCACCGGGCATCCGGAGATAAGGTGCGAAAGGGAGTCATCACCCTCATATTTAACATGTATTAAACGAAGCCTTTTGAGGTGAGGCAAAAAGACGATACTGCCCCTATCGGGGACGACACCGCAGCGGTGGAGCGTCAAATCAATTAGGGTTTTGCAGGTGAAGAGGCATCGAGGCGAATCGAGATGAACAGTTAGGTAAATTTCGATGTTTTGCACATTGCGCTCAACGGCAAAGGTAATCCATGTATGGATTTGATGATAGTTGCGCTTGGTGCAATCGAAGAGAGAGAAAGTATTGATGCTGTGCAATTTGCGGAGAAGTAAAACCCTATTTATGGTATCTGAATTCTCGTAGTAAAAAAATAAATTGGGGACGTAAGACCAGAGATACCGCCATCTTCGGGATAGAATGCTGGTGGCGACGGATTTACTTGTTGCCGGGAGAAAAGAGAGAATGTGAGAGAGGATTGAGTCCGGCAAATCGCTGAGTCGATCGATTGGGACCGCGTTTTGCTTCTTGCTGTACTGTTGTTTTACTATCTCCATAACAAATTGGAAAAGAGGGGGAATTTATTTATTATCTCAAAGAAGAACAAGATGCTGGTAATCGACACTGCTATTTAGACGGCGAAAGGGTTTTGACGAAGCAATGCTTTATTTATTATTTTTTTTTTTTTTGGTAATATGCCTCACAAGTTCACAACCCTCAAACCAAATTTAATTAGATATGAGTGATAAACTCAAATAAAATATTTTAACAACATCCCTATTTTAAAATAAAAATAAAATAAAAATCGATGCACCTTCCTTTGATTTTTATTTAACCCAAAAATATCCTTACAATACCTAATAAAAGTCACGTGTCTCTTTTTTTTCTCTTATTTCTTTCTTTCTCTTCCCCACGTCTTTCTCACGCCGCTCGACATCGCCACGTTCTGGTTCTCTCTCTCTCTCTCTCCTGATCTCTCTCTCTCACACACGTCCCCCCTCCCTTCCTCCTTTTCAATTACAGTGAAATGATGAAGGCTATGATGGCGGCGGCTATGATGGCAGCGGTTATGGTAGGCGACGACAATTATGGCGACGCTCGGTGTAGGGGTTGCATCGGGAGGCTTTGCGTGATGGCAGGTTCGTTGTTTGCTTGCTACCAACATGGATGAATCGTGAAGGTGGGTCTGGGTATGGGGGGATGGAGAGGGAGAGTAGTGGCGGTGGTGGTGGTGGCGGCGGATCGGATTTAGAGTTTGTTGGGAAAAATTTAAAAAATTTCGATTTAAATGTCTACAGATGTCTATGATAGTCTATGGGTGTCTATGGTGTTTGACGGCTAGGGTTGAAAGGAGTTAGAGTTTCTAGATGTCTATGGGTTACTACGGATTACTACGGTTTCTACGGGCTTCTGTAGATGTCCACGGCAAAAAATTAAAAAAATCATAATTTTCAATTTATCTAGAAAAGAAGGGGAAAAAAATATATTTTATATAATGAAAAAAATACGAAAAAGAAAATAAAAAAGAAAATAAAAAAGAAAAAAGAAACCATAATTTATAATTTTATGTAGAAAAGGGGAAAAATAGATTTTTGTATAATGAACAAATATAGAAAAAAAAAAGTTGTTTCACGAAAAATTAAAAAAAAAATGATAGATGCAAACTTAAAAATGTTAAATAATACCATAATTCATCATAGTATATTTATAATTTGCTGTAATTTTGAATTTGTGAGTAGAGGGGCATTTTTGGAATAAATTTAATAAAGGATGTGAAACAAATTTTAATTAGACTTGTTATTTAGTTCTAATACCGTTTGTCACCAGGGACTTATATCTTAAGAGAGAGTGGCGAAATTATAAATTGGAATTTCTACGTTATATAATATTTTATCTTTATATAAAATGTATTTTCTAAATGTTTAAGCAAAAAAATTACAACTTTGACCGCTCAAGTTTGAACTGATTTCATATTTGACCCCTCATGTTAATCAAAAATATATTTGGTCTCCATGTTTCAAAAATGCAACACTTTTAGTCACGTTCGTCAATTTTTCGTTAAAACTAACAGAATCAAGCGTGTGCCCATTACTGCCTTAACTGATGGACTAACGGTAAGTTTCCGAGCTAGGGATAGATTTATATGGAACTACTCCGAATCCGGGAAATTTACGGTGAAATCTTGCTATCAAATCATTCTTTCAAGCGAGTCCAAGCCTGGTGCTCGAGCGGGCCTAGAAGGAGCATTGAGCTTTGGGATTTCTAAGGACTTTTGGAAATCGGTTTAATTCTTGCAAATCCAACCGAAAGTTAAGATTTATATTTGGAGGGCAATATCTGATATTCTCCTAACTAATGCAGCTCTTTTCCAGAGACATGTTGCTCTCAATCCCTTTTGCCGGTGTTGTACTATTTCCCAAATTGAAACTGTTGTGCATGTAATGCTGAACTGTCGGGCCATGGCAGGTATTTGGAATCTGCTTCTTTTGGTCTTCCTCTCGGGTCTGAGTTCCCTTCGTTTCATAGTTGGTTTACGTTCTTGAAATGGGAGATCAACAATAAGTTGTTTTGTCTCACTGTGGTATGTTGGCCGGAGTCGCGGAATATAGAAGTTCACGGGAGCAACAACTTATGGGGGAAAGGATATGTTCACGGGAGCAACAACTTAAGTTGAGGGGTTTATTGCTAATATTCTTAGACTTGCTATTTCCACCCTCAAAATATCTTAGTTCGCTACTAAATTAATATATTTTTCTATTTTATCTATTTTTCCTTTTTTACAAATTTATAAATTGTCCACCACTAAACTAATTAGAAATTTCACAAAATCAACTCTACTATTTCCCACAAGAATCTTTACCATATAATCTCATGTTTTTTAAGAAATAAATTAAGCGTGGTTGTGTTCGAAAAAAGAAAACATATATTTTTGATATTGTTGTTTTTCGTGGATTAAAATTTAAAAAGGTTACTTTTTATCCAGCATAATCTACCCAAAAGCTAATTTAAATTGAGGTTATTAGAATCTTATTTTACCATTTTATGTTTCATTGCATAAAAAAAAAAAGAAAAAAAAAACTTAAAATAGATGACCATTAAACAATGGGCAAAGGGCAAAAAGGCCCACCACATGGGACTTAAATGCATTTTGGTCCACAAAAAAAATTGTCTCTCAATTAAGTCCATCCCCATGTCTTTAGTCTAAAATACCCTCTATAATATAATTCTTATCAATTCCACCCATTATGCTTTAACTTCCTTAATATTAAACATTGACCCCGGATTTAAACAAATATATCACATTAACCCCCAAAACTTTTTTTTTCCAGAAAATAATTTTTTTCTGAATTTTTTTTTTCCTGAAATTTTTTTCCGGCCGGTCAACCACCGTTGACCGCCGGTCTCCGGCGTTGACTTTTTGTTTTTTTTTTTAATTGTTTTTCTTAGAAAAAAAATATTTTAATTAATATTACTGTCTTGACAACTAAATCACTGTCTCAGACAGTAATATTACTGTTTGGGACAGTAATATTATGAATATTATTTTTCCGAACAGTAATATTATTAATATTATTGTCTAAAACAGTTAAATTACTGTTGGAGACAGTAATTTAACATCCAAGACAGTAATATTAATTAAAATAATTTTTTGGAAGGAAAAAAAAAAAAAAGTCAATTAACAGTTAAATAACTGCCGGAGACAGTAATTTAGCAATGAATACAGTAATATTAATTAAAAATATTTTTTTTAAGAATAAAAAAGTCAATTAACAGTTAAATTACTGTCTCCGACAGTTAAATAACTAATTTAGCAACGAATACAGTAATATTAATTAAAATATTTTTGAAGAAAAAAAAAAAGTCAATTAACAGTTAAATTACTGTCTCCGACAGTTAAATAACTGCCGGAGACAGTAATTTAGCAGCCAAAACAGTAATATTTATTAAAATATTTTTTTAAGACAAAACAAAATTAAAAAAAAAAAAAAAAAAAGTCAACGCCGGAGACCCGGCGGTCAACGGCGACCGACCGGAAAAAAATTTCAAGAAAAAAAAAAAAAAAAAAAAAGTCAACGCCGGAGACCGCCGGTCTCCGGTGGTGGCGGGTCAAAGTTGGGGTCAAAATTGAAATTATGGTTAAAATTGGTTAATTGATGAAATTGGGCTAAATTGGGGTGTAAATCATGAAATTGGAGTTAAATTGGGTTTCAATGAATTGAGGGTAATTTTGGTATATATAAAAGAATTTTCTTTATTTGCAAATAAGTTTGAATGGGGTGGATTTATTTGAAAGACAAAAAAGTTGGATTTCCCTCTTTTAATTAAGTGTCCTTGTCATGGGCCTATTTGCTCTTACCCCTTAAACAAATATAAGGGAGGGTGGTGGATTACAAATTTAAAAAATATTTATAATATTTTATATAACTTTTATGGTGAATTAAAATAATTTGGAAATCCAAATATTACCACTCTATTTTTTTTCTTATTTGAAGGGAAAACATGCTAAATCAATAATCAGTCGTATATATATGGAAATTTGTACATACCACGTCCAATAAATAAATAAACATTCTAATAATTCATTAATATACTTTTTTTAAAAACTTATTCTTTAATATCATACATCACAATTTACGATTAATTTAGAAGTCTTCATTAATTTTGACCCAATTGTCATATTTTTTTTCAACTTTTATTTGAATCTTGTTCTAATTTATTTTAACATAGTATGGACATTATAAATAAATAAAAAAAGTGTCTTTAAAATCCATCCAAGAATATTTTCTCTAATTGCCCTATATATTCAAAATAGCTGTGAAGGAACATTTGCCTGTTTAATAATATACAAGAACAAGACACCAAGCAAGACCTTATAAATTTGAGTACACTGTCAACATACTGGACTATACATGCTGCAAAACAATCTTTCAACATTAGTAGTTATCGGTATCAAAAACAAAAGATAGATGTAATAAGTTAGAATTATTTGGCCACGCCTAAACAAACTCAACAAAGGAAAAGTTCCATGCCTCAGATCCACGTTCAAACAGTCAAATTTTCCGAGACACCTAAATCTTTTGTTACTGATTGGATAATATCTACATTAGGTGAAGCATTACCATATAAAATGAAGTGATTCAATTTGAATTAACAACCATTTCAGCCTTAAATGCATTTTGGTCCACAAAAAAACAGTCTTTCAATTAAACCTATCCCATGTCTTTAATCTAAAATACCCTCCATAATATAATTCTTATCAATTCCACCCATTATGCTCTAACTTCCTTAATATTACACATTGACCCCGGATCTAAACAAATATATCACATTAACCCCCAATTTTTTTTTTTCAGATTATAATTTTTTTTCCGGCAAGATTCCGACGTTGACTTTTTTTTTTTTTTTTGAAAACTTTTTTTTTCCTGAAATTTTTGAAAACTTTGTTTTCCAAAATTTTTTGAAAACTTTTTTTTCCGAAAACTTTTTTTTTTGAAAACTTTTTTTTTTCCGAAATTTTTTTTGTGTTTGGCAAGATTCCGGCATTGATTTTTTTTTTTTATTTCTTTTTCTTAGAAAAAAAATATTTTAATTAATATTACTGTCTTGACTACTAAATTATTGTCTCAGACAGTAATATTACTGTTTGAGCCAGTAATATTATGAATATTATTTTCCCCAACAGTAATATTATTAATATTATTGTCTAAGACAGTTAAATTACTGTTGGAGACAGTAATTTAGCAGCCAAGGCAGTAATATTAATTGAAATAATTTTTTTAAGAAAATAAATTAAAAAAAAGTCAATTAACAGTTAAATTACTGCTGGAGACAGTAATTTAGCAACGAATACAGTAATATTAATTAAAAATATTTTTTTTAAGAATAAAAAAGTCAATTAACAGTTAAATTTCTGTCTCCGACAGTTAAATAACTGATGGATACAGTAATTTAGCAACAAATACAATAATATTAATTAAAAATAATTTTTTTAAGAATAAAAAAGTCAATTAAGAGTTAAATTACTGTCTCCGACAGTTAAATAACTGCTGGAGACAGTAATTTAGCAACGAATACAGTAATATTAATTAAAAATATTTTTTTAAGAATAAAAAAGTTAATTAACAGTTAAATTACTGTCTCCGACAGTTAAATAACTGCGGGAGACAGTATATTCTCAGCCAAGATAGTAATATTAATTAAAATATTTTTTTTAAGAAAAAACAAATTTATAAAAAAAAAATAATAAATCATCGCCGGAAACCCGGTGGTCAACGACAATTGACCGGCCGGAAAAAAAATTGAGGAAAAAAAAAAGTTTTTCAAAAAAAAAAAAAAGTCAACGCACGAGACCGGTGGTCAAGCCGGTCAACGGCGGCGACCGGCGGTCTCCGGTGGTGGCGGGTCAAAATTGGGGTCAAAATTGAAATTATGGTTAAAATTGGTTAATTGATGATATTGGGCTAAATTCGAGTGTAAATCATGAAATTGAAGTTGAATTGGGTTTCAATGAATTGGGGGTAATTTTGGTATATATAAAAGTATTTTCCTTATTTGCAAATAAGTTTGAATGGGGTGGATTTATTTGAAAGACAAAAAAATTGGATGTCCCTATTTTAATTAAGTGCCCTTGTCATGGGCCTATTTGCCATTTACCCTATTATTTAAGATCTTATAATGAGTAAAAATAAGAATAAGCTTATTATCCAAACACTCTAAAACTTAATTTTAAAAATAAGATGTAACAGCTTATCAGCTCTTAAAACATCTTATCAGATGTAAGAGCTTATCAGCTGTTTAAAATAAGCTTAGCCAAACACCCTCTTACTATCGTGCGGTTCTTTTTTATGGTTTTGTTTAGGTGTTGTCATTAATTGGATCTCCTATTATACATGGAAATTAAATATTTTATTGTTATGGGAATTATGATAGGATAAGGAATGAGGTTATATACTTATATTAGTTTCCTGAATATTTTGAAACTCGGACCGGACCGGCCGGTCCGACCGATTTAACCGCAAACCGCCACCAAATCCGGTCCTGTTGGATGTAAAAACCCAAAAATGCCTAAAAACCAGGTCAGGTGATGAAGAACCGGAAAATCCACGGTTGAACCGTCGCCCTTGATAAATAGAAAATCGATTACCTCTTCACTGGGTCTGTCCAAAGCTTGATAGGAAATTGTCAGTGATGTGGTAGTGCCGTGGGCGAGTGGAGGGAGGAGGATTAAGAAAGGAAATTTAGAAAAAAAAAGGTACAGGAAGAGGATGTGAGAGAGGGGAGTTGATGGCGGAAGTGTTATATCAAATACGGTTTATGCTTATATGATTCAAAATTTGATTTATTTTTAAATTTTATGTAATATCTATAATTTGTGCTTTTTTGTGTATTTTTAAATTTTATTGATGGATTAATAAATAGACTTATGGTCTTTAGATAAATATTTAGTATTGATCATAATCATAAATATATATAAATAATTTAAAAATATAATAAATACTTTTAAATATATATAAATAATTAAATAAATAAATAAATTAAACACCCGGTTGAACCGGTCCGACCGTGACTCAGTTAGCTGTCCGGTTCGATGTCCAGTCCGGTTTAAAAAATATTGAGTTTCCTATACAAACTCATCTACTGTACGTTAATTGAAAATCCAATGGTTTTCTTATTTTCTTGTACAGGAAGATTAAAGCACATATAAAAGAAAGTATCAAGGAACGTATTACGTGTGCCTTTTTTGAGAGAAAAATATTTATCTTTATTGCTCCTACAGCTTTTTATCGAGAGAAAATATACCGAGAAAATATTATTTGCTCTCGTTTTTATTGTTCCATCGTGATACGTGATTTCCATAGAAAATATATCGGCTTCAAGTCTTTGTCGTGAAGACACCAAGGTTCAGGGATTATCACAAGTTTGCTTTCTTCTATATGAAAAGAAGATCGGTTCTTCAGGAGAGGGCTTAAACAGATCTCGGGAGGAGATCGATCGGCTAACTGAAGGGATTC